ATACAAAGATTTTGTAATTTACAGATTTTGGATACCACGCCCCCTTCGCCCCCAATTTGTAAAAAACGCATTTCAAGTACTAGAGACTTGTGCTTTGGAATGTACATACATTTGAACATTATGATTACGTTCTGAAAGTTTCATTAAGATTGTAGGTCTACAAAAGAAATTATTCAACAAATAAATTCTCATAATATTGCCCACATTGCAGCGCAGCCCAAGCGCAGTCGCTGCTTACTGCGCAGTAAGCAGAGCGCAGGCTTATGCGTGCGTGTGGATGCATGTGTATGTATGTGTGCATAAAAGAAGTGCGGAATGATTAGAATATCAGCTTAGAGGGTTCAGGGTATCTCCTAGTCGAGCAGTCTCGACTGGAGCCTTCTTACTTGTTTTTTTTAAGCCTCGCGTCATTAAAGACAATTTCGTGATTCGCCAAATTTTTTTTTTAAATTATAGAAAGCAAACAAACGAGCTGCAAATCAATAGAAATCAACGCCTGTCAGGCAATGAGACGCCGCTCGAGCTGCCAGCTTCGATGAGAGCTGCGGCCCATTGTGAACTTAATCAATGTACAATAAAATAAAATAAAATCGAATCGAAAATCAAAGAAAAAAAAAAAAAGAAGAAGAAGAAGAGTATTTGGGTTGTTTATTTTTGCGCACAAAGTGAAATTCGTGCATTGTAAACGTCTCAACACTTAGCTAAACAAATAAACAGAATCAAGACTAATTTCCCTCTCTCTCTCTCTCTCACTCTATCTCGTCTCTTTCATGCACAGAGCCAGGCCTTGGCTTTGACCCGGGCGGCCAATGCGGCGGCGGTTGTGGCCGCTGCCAATGTCAAATCACCATCGGCTGCGGCTAGCCTCATGGACATGGCCGTCAAGAAGGAGCACTCACTGTCGCCGACCCACAGCGCCCTCCCCGAGGACGCCAGCGTTGGCGTTGCGCTGGGCCAGCTGCAGCACAGACGCAGTTCGCTGCAGGGCGTGCAGGAGAAGTTGACACAGCTGCAAATGCAGCATCAGCACCATCAACAGCAGCAGCAGCAGCAACAGCAGCAGCAGCAACAACAGCAGCAACAACAACAGCAACAACAACAACAGCAGCAGCAACAGGCTGCAGCAGAGACGACAAATGCCGCCGGTCGACGTTCCACAGAGGGCAGTCCGCCGGCTTTGGGTTTGCTGCCCCATCAGCATCAACACCAGCAGCAGCAGCAGCAACAGCAGCAGCAACAACAACAGCAACAACAATCGCTGCTCAACGCCGAATCCGGCTGCGGCAATGCGTTGTCCTCCTCTGCGGGCTCTAGTCAAAATGCCTCCTTAGCGGCAACACCCAAGAGCGAAAGAGAACGCGAACGCGAGCGAGAGGAGCGCGGCAGCATCTCCTGCTTACCGCCCGCTGCGCTGGGCATGGCTGTGGGCGTGCAGGCACAGCAGCAGGCCGAGAAGCTGCTCAGCCACCCCGCACTGGAAGCTCGACGAGATTTCGATGTCAGCAAAGTGAATCGTGAGTAACTATGGCATTTATTTATTAAACTGTATATGATAAGTTAAGACGGAGAGAAAGGGAAAGATATATACAGGAAATGGCTTAAAAAGAGAAGAGAAATAGATGAGGAAAATTAAATAGGTAATAGAAATAGGGAAACGAGGTAAAGAACTAAATATACTAAGATTAAGAAACTAAACTACATGGAGAAGAAGAGGAATGAAAGAGAAATAATTGATGAAGAAAGAAAGGAAGAAATGGGCGGATATAGAGAATGAGAGGAAGGAGGAAACAAGCGAGAGAAAACAATTGATAGATATTAACAGATAATGGGAAATTGAGACAGAAAGATGTGGGGAAAATCGAAAGTGAGAGTTGTAAAGATATAAAGAATGAGAGAGGAATAGAGAGAGCGAGAAAGAGAAAAAGAGAGACAGAGAGAGAATATAAGGAGTAAGATAAATAGAGACAGGAACAAATTAAGAGTGAAAGAGAGAAACAATTTAAGAGATATAGACAAGGAGGAACAAAGGTAGGGATAGACGGATACAAAAAGAAAAGTAATTATAGAGAGAGAGAGAGAGAGAGAGAGAGTGAGAGAGGAGATAGACGCAACATCGAAATCCACTAATAAGATAGATAATAATAATAGCCAAATTATCACATAGCTCAACTTTTCTTTTTTAAAACCCTAAAATCTTATTTACATAAATTTGCTTAAATATTTTGGCAAACAGTTTAGCTATTGGCCAAGCGAACTTTAAAACCTGTTAACAAATATCGAATATGATATTTAGGCAAAAACCCCGCCATGAATAACTTAGCATATGCCAAAATGCATATTGATTAAATTTAGTGAATTTCACGCTATTAAATTGAAATTTCACGCCAATCGCTTAAATATTTTAGAAGCGGCCACAAAACTGATTAAGGGCTCTAATTGCAATCGAATTTGGTTAGTCGCATTTGTTGCATAAATCACGCATAAATCCAAAAGCGAAACTAAATCCCAACTAGAAGAAATCGGGTGGTCTGGGGTCGATCGCTTTGCTATTTCTGTACCAATGCACAAATACCCTTAATCCGGGGCAGTGTATGAATAGCAACGGCAACGGCAACGGCTGCCTCTGTGGAGCGTTCAATAATAGAGGCAAACCGCATCATTATAAAAATGCCAGCCTCACAAACTGGTGATTATATGTGAGTGTGTGTGTGTGCCCCATGTTGCATGGCAGCTTTAAGGATTTGTGCAACTTTAACCAGGCTATAAGCAGACATTGTAGATATGCATTATATAAATATATCTATATATGTCTACATGTCTCTCTCTGTCTCTCTCTCTCTCTCTCTCTCTCTATCTCCCTCTCTCTCTGTCTACATCCGCTTCTCTCTCTCTCTCTCTTTGCGAGTGGCCCTGCTGCGGTAATCTTGTTTATCTCTCTCTCTCTCTCTTAGCCATGGACAAAGCGTGTATCTCTGTCACATTCTCTCTCTCTCTCTCTACATATACTCATACACATACATATTTATACAGTTGCAGCTACAGTTGCTACTTGGTAGCTGTTGTATTTGTCAGATAGATTGTCGCTTGCCGAATCTAAAATCCTTTTGCATACCAATACAAACACACGTCTGCTCGTTGGCGCCCATTCAAATTTCACACACACACGCACATACATATACTCACATGCAGCACACACTCATCGCATATGCATCCAAATCCCCTGGATTAAGCATATGAAGCATTCATAACGTTTATTTTACCTTCCATCTGGCATTCGTAGTGCCTCTACCCCGCCCTCTCCCTCTCACTCTCTATCGGTCGCCCTCTCACCTCACTCACTCTCGCTGTCTCTCTCTCTGTTGTGTGTGCAAACAAACATTCGTTTTGCTTTCGCTGTGGTTGCAGAGAGCACGAAGGGACTCACACACAGACACCCCCACACACACACTCCCACATCCACACCCACACACACACACTCACTCGTTTAGTGCGCTCGTTTGGTCTGTTGCGTCAACACACACTTGTGGAGCTATTTGGGCCATGTGGCTGTAGCTGTGGCCAATGCAGGATAACAGCTACAACAACAGCAACAACAACAACAGTAGCCCTGGCAGCATTTGTGTAGGCGTATTTGAGTTGATTCCTTGGCTGTTGCTGCCGGCACTCGCGGCGTATACGCAACGTTATCGCGTTGCTCTTTTTTTTTTTTTGCCTTGCTCTGCATTGAGCTCTGAGCTCTGAGCTCTCTGCTGTGTGTGAGCTCAACAGGTTGTTTTTGGCATTACGTCCAATTTATGGCCGCGCTGTGCCGCATGTAAGTTTTCAATTGCCACAGGCGCTGCAATGCTCCACACACACACAGTGTCTGCCATAAGTCTGTGTAATGTCTACGATGTGTTGAAAAAAGAGACTTGAATTGCCTTTGGAGTAAGAGGAAGGAAATGTGTTAGAGGTAAATCAAGTGGCAAATATATAGAGAAAAAATCAGAGAAAATTTTAGCTATTTAAAAATTATGAAATTAAATTTTTTTTAAATAAATTAAAAGTTAGAATTGA